CTGGAATTCCTGCCATTTTCCACAAGATCAGAGCAAACACACAGAATACCTGTTCTTCTGCAGATGCATACCTTTCCTATAAATTTGAGGCAGAGGTGCAATATTAAGACATAGAGGAAACAGCCAATATAACCTTTGCCAGACACAAACAGCTTCTGATTATTGATCAGGGGTTAATTCATTGGCTTTCAGGTCTTATCATTTGTTACTGCATGCAACAGGAGAACAGAGGGCCAAATTACTTACTCAGTGAGTTGTAATAAACTCAATGAAAAAAACAGGTAGGAGGGCAGAATCTATTATTGGAACCTTGTGCAGCAGAGAAGCAGATGTAGCAACACTTAGGATCACACATTCAAGTATGAACCTCAGAGGTGTTCTCAAGTTGATACAAAAATGTACATGCACCTTTATAGGCATTTATTTTTACATGGCAATTCTGAATAATGACTATAAAAGGAATAATATTTAGTTGACTCATTCAGCAAGCACAGCAGATCTCGTGCACTGAATGCATCAGGGTTTTTTGTGCAAACACAGTGTGTAATTGTGCAATTAAAATCTTCAGCAGTGCAGAGGCAGAAGTGGATTGTACAGCCTATCTTCATTCCAGCTGTAGCTAACATTAAAACTCTTACCTGCAAAATAATAAAACATTGTGGGGGTAATGAACTATAAAAGAAGACTGAAAATCTGTAATCATTTATTAATATGGTTCCATTTATGACATCGTCATAGAGATAATACCCAGTCTGATGACACAGAAAAGACCTTCTGCTTTCAACCCAAATTCGAATTTCCACTATTATCTTGGCTTCCTGACTTCCAAACCACACGTTGGGACCATCTACTGCTTGTAGGGAGTGTGATATCAACAGCAAAGCTCTCTATTGTTAGGACTTTGTTAATACCTGTTCATTTCAGGTATCAACACTGACACCTAGCTCTAGCCTCATAGTGGGATTGATAGAATCACAGAAACATTGCTCAAAAGGGGCCTTTGGAGATCTTTAGTCCAACCTACCACTCTATACCACTCACCACTACATCCAGTAAGCCACGACTGTCTATCCAAGTCTTGAAAACACATACAGATGGATTCTCTGCCACCTCTCTGGTGTTCCTGCTTGCTGCGTTTTTACTTATATGTTATGATTTTGTATGTCACTGAAAATCAAATTAAACCCTCTGGAAAATGGCTTCCTCTTTGGGAAGGATTATCAGTCAAAAGTACATTATATAGAACTATTATATAGAATTATTTGTGTTATTTCATCTGCCAGTTCGACTTTTCTCATAGCAGCCCAGAATAAATTAGGGTGTTTAGAAGTACTTTCCAACCAGAAGCTTTCCAATTTACAATAAATGCTATTGAGGAACCAAAGTCTTTGTTTCACATTCATAGTAACTATGGCTATTCTTTATATAAGATTGCTTCCAGGTCTGTGAATATGTTCTGGCCATATCCTGCATTTTGCTGGGATGAAACCAGAGTGCATCTTCCTGTGCCTAGCTTTTTAGGAAAAAAATTACGGTGTTCAGGCTTTATATGGCAAAAACCCCCAACAGTTCCCAGCGTCTAGGCTACACTAGAAGGAAGCACGTTGCATTCTTATTGATGCCCTGCTCATCCAGATCTGGCAACCTGCATTGTACAGTGCACTGTCAAAAGCATCAGCCCCTAGGCCAAACATAGCTACCCTTAAAATTCAAGATTGCTCTGGACACATTTAGCATGTTGGTGTTCCCAAATTTCTCATGAAGCATCTGATGTTTTTATACTCCTTTCCCTCATCATCTATACTGATAATCCGCAGTCCAAGATACCAGTGTTGCAAATATTAATTCCTGAATAGCAGCTTTTGTGCTTCACAGCTTGCATTTCAAAATGGCTGCTCCCTGCTTGATGATAATACTAGCGTAATTAACATTTAAGGTAGTTAAATTTTCGTTACTGAGTAGAGGCTCAATCTGGCACTTGAAATCTTGCCCTTGGAGCTCAGGAGAATTAGAGCATTGGTTTCTGAGACAAAAGAGTGTCCCATCTCTTCTACGCAATTAAAAGTAACCACTGAGTTTTAGATAATAATAGAGGTCAAATTACCAAAGTGCTATTGAAAATATTTAACCACACACAAATGGTACATATTTAAAAGGCCTTATTGGCATGTTACGCAAACCAGTCAAGCTCTCATGCCTTACTTTGCAATTAAAACATCTTAAGCAGAAGTACAATCTAATTGTGTACAGCTCATATATAAAAACGCAGATGGCTACAGGTAAACACTCCAAGCTAATGCTGGTTGGGATTCACTCAGACCTTACTCCAGCATTCTCCAAGTACTTTGCAACTATTGATTATCCTGTTTTATAAAGGAGGGATATCTCTAGCTTGTACTTATTTTTACAAAGGGTGAAGTAAGACAAAAGGTCAGGGCTGTAAACAGAAATGGAAAGGGAGGATCTGAGGCCCCAGTCTTCTAATGTCTAGATAGCTCCCCTTCTCATTAAACAGAGTCATGTATGGACAACAAACATAAACTGTAATTGAGAGTTCTCCAACTAAACAAATCCATTCAAAAAGTTAGATGCATATTTTCAAGGCTGGAAAAGAAAATTACTTTAGGATACTAAACAAGCAACTGCATGAAATTTAGCTTTCTTACTGAGTTCTGAGATCTTAAAAAACTCTAAATTTTGAAGTCTTGACTAGGTTCATAAGCATTTTGTAAAAGACTGGCTTCATAATGCGAGGGCAAAAAAAGATTCACTATAGAAAGTTCACCAAAGTTCTGTCATTTTTTAGAGATTACTGTGACGTAGAAAGAAACTGAGATTGATTTGCCAGAGAGGCTATGAAAAACCTCTCTTTTCAGGGTGAATGAAGTATAGAAACAAAAGGAAATGCTAAAGAACAGAAGTGATCAGTGGGCACAGACTTGTACTACAGCCTTCAATCCAGCAGGTATCTA